ATTTCTCCTGCTGTCTTTTCAATATATATGGACAGCTGAACACCCNGTTTTGAACAAATCTTCTTTGTGGGCGGAGAGATCAAAGCAAAATATTGGATAAAACAAAATCAACATATTGAAACATTTCCAAATAACTCACTCATAATTTTATAGTTTCTTTATAATTCGTTAAAATCTTGATTATCTGGATCTATTGTTAAAGGTTGGTTTGGATAATTTTCGTAATTCATTCTTACTTGAACTCTATTTATTTTATGATCTCGAAAGTTGTCACCGATTATTTTAAAAAGGTTATTATTATTTTCTTGCGAATCCGGAAGAGTTTTGAAAACAAGTATTAAATATCTTGCTGGTTTTGTAGTGTTTGTCACTTGCCATGTGTAATTCTCACCTGTGATTGTTATCGATACAATCGTGTTTCTTCTTAAAATATATATCTTTTAATATTTTTGTCAAACTATCAAGTAGTCTTGTTTCAACTTCAATTGTTTGGGTTATTACTGGAACATATAATTGAATATTTCTTATTTCCAATTTAGCATTTTCTTCTCCAAAAAATATATTCTATCATTATTTATTGTTCTTTGAAGATGGAATTTGAAAGGAAGACCAGTGTAAACCTTTCTATGTTCGAGTTAACCGAACAGTGGACAGACCAGTTAACATAAGTTTCCAAACTGTTACCATCAACAGTGCGATTGTATAAAACAACTCTTTTTTATAACCTTTATTATTTTGAAATTTTGAGACATTGATTAACTTTCCCTTAGTTGGCATCACGCGCAGTGTCTTCTGGATTGTTTTGAATTCAGCCATCTCCCAAATCTGCAATCCATCTTGATGATGAATTATAGTCTTTTGAATAAAGTAGGGTTTTCAACGTGGTGTCAAATTCACCTTGGTTTCAATTGTATTTGAACCTGCTTCTAAAACCATGTCGCTGAATAAGGAGGGGAAAAATTTGTTTTCTAACGTTACGTTCTGTTGTTGGATTCTGTTTTGTTTTGTTTGTGGTAAGCTTTATAACTTTGGTACCCTTCTTTTATCAATTTTTCTCTCAACCGTTTATAATAACTCAAATGTTACTCAAGGTATTTTATATGTGCATCTACTTCAGTTGTATCGTATTCTGGAACTGAAAATAAAAGATTAGGCAGAATTATATGAAGGAAGTAGAATCTCAAGTAAATTTATATTCCCTTGCTGGTATAAATTCTCCCCTCATCATTCTATCCATTAAATTAATGATATGGCGATAATCTTCTAGTAATAAACAATACCCAAAGAGTGAATTTGTAAATCAACAAACCTGCAGTTGTATGAATTTGCACACATATATCCATTTTTTCCTCTGACATATTCACCAAAGTAAAATGTAATTCACCATACGACACTATTATTACGCATTATGAAATAAATTTCTAGAATACTCAGGTATATTCAGCTGTCGTACCCATTTAACATAAAATCAACATGTTCATAATAA